TTGTGAAAGGCACGCTTCCCCTGCAGTTTAATCCATAACTCTCGTGACCTCTTCGTAACCTTAGTCTAGCTCCTCATCTTTCATTTCTGGTTTCACAGTGAGCATTTCAGTCCACGTCCTTGAAGGGATAAATCAGTTGTTCAAATTCTTCTTGTATTTCCTACTGTAAGTCTTCATTTTGAATGTTACATTTAATGCCTCCACTTTCCCCCACAGAATTGGAATGGGCTGCATGTTGGATTTTTGTTTGCTGGTTAATTAATCTTTCAGAGGAAGAAGTTTATCTCCAGGCTTTCTCCCCCTGGGCACTACTGACAACTTGGGCTAGACAATTCTTCACTGGGGAGCAGGGTGCTGTTCTGTGCAGTGCGGCATGTTCAGCAGTGTCCCTGGCCTCTGTCCACTAGGTGCCAGTAGAACCACACTGGTGGAGATGACCAAAAATGTCCTCAGACTCCGCCAAATGTCCCCTGGGGGGGAAGAGCGGTGAAGGCCTCCAGCTGAAAGCCACTCGTCTAGACTAGTTTGTCCAAAAGTAGAATGGGTAGGGTCTCCTCGTTATTCTGCTAACCTGGGCACGGTCAAATCCTTCCCGTAGGAATCAAGCTTAAGAGAATTAGATGTTGTAGAAGTTTCAATTATTAGTTCAGAAGCCCAGAAGCCTGAATGGGTATGGGAGGAACTGGGCCTGGCTGGGGACAGCGGCAACTGGAAATTTCATCTCCATGCCTTCTGTTTGTTAGGGCCGGTGCCTCTCAATCTGTGTGCGTGCATGCATGTGTGCACGTGTGTGTGCGTGCTTGTGCGTGTGTGTGGAGGGTTGGGTTTTACTCCGTCCTGATGCTAAGATTTTGGTTCATTTCCTCATATGGGAGTGGGCTGGTCACTGATAAGACATCAAGTTAAAATAAAGGCCCATGGTTTGATTGGTTCAGCAAATATTTTTCTTTGCACAATAGCCTTTGTTTGGTGCTGTTGGCCACAAAGCTGGCTCCTAAGATATGGTTTCCCATCTCTCCAGCCCTCTCTCCTCACCCCAGACCTTATCCCCATCAGAAGCTGGAGCAGAGCAGGAAAAGGAGCCTGTTTGCATTCCCAGCGTCCCAGAGTGCACTGCCTTCCAGATGGGTGGTCTCCAGCCCATGTCTCCAAGCTGTGGGGTCTTTCTGAGCCTCCACTATTGTTTCTCCCCCACTGGAGTTGTATGCCCCACGTTATCCTTTATTCCAATTCAAACTGACCTTAAACTGGCAGGTAGCCCTTGGAATTCATATTTCCAAATTTCAGTTGATGAAATTTTCTCTTCCCTTTTTGTTTCTCTTGGTTCCTTTCACCAGGTTTTAGGAAAGGAGGATTTTGCTAACTTGCTATTAAGTCACCACTTTTCCTTTTAGTCCCCAGTGTAATATTTTTTCCTTCTCCACAGAGGCCAAGGGACAGGGCAAAGAAACGGCTCAATTCTTCTTAAAATAAAATCTGTTCTATGTCTTGCTTTGAGCAGTGGGAGAAGTGACTTTTTTCCTGAAATACAGAGTAGAAAGCTCTGGGGTAGAGCTCAGGAGAGTAAAATCCAATTTTTGAGGAAATGCTGCTTATGTGGCTCTAAGTGACTTTTTTTTTGCCCTGAGCACTTAATTTTACACTCATTAAAACAGAAAACTATGCTCTGTTCCACCTCTGCACTAGGCTGGAGAGAGAATGAAATGTATCTTTTGCACTATCAGCAAGAGATACTAAACACAAGAAACGACTCACTAATGCCTAGCAGAAAGGGGGGTCCTGAATTTCTAAATGAATCTTCCACCTTCCCCACCTCCGCCTGTCTGCGCGGAGACCAGGGCACCCACGCTTTCCTCATAGCCAGTACAGACGCAGGTGGAGGCATTTTTTCTTTATGACATTGACACAGAAAGATGGTTGATAAGTGGCATATAATTAATGCATAGGTGTCTAGATCACACAAAGATTTTACTGCACCCATCTTTTTCTAAACAAGCGTATGTAACGTCTCAGTTTCCTGATGTAATTTTAGTGAACTTAAAGCCAAACAGCTTAGGCTTATAGAACAGACTCCACTCCCACAACAGTCAATGACTGACTGCTGGCACACTGCCTCTGGGCAATCATGAATCCACACAGTGGGCAGGTGATGGCTGGGTCCTACCCCAGATCAGGTGTGCCAGATGGAACTTTGTTTAAACTAAAATCTTAGGTCCTCTGCTTGTGAGTTCACGGGCAGCATGCTGAGCCTGCTGGCAGGAGACAGAAATAGTGCCGTAACAATGGGCACACTCACTGATGACAAAGATCAAAGGAGAGCATGCCGAAGCCTATCTGCAGTCTTGGCAGAATTCAAATACGGGGGTAGAGAACGGTTTCCAGTTAACCGAAAAGGATACGTAGCACACCACCATGTGCTCAGCACCAGTCTACGTGTTTTAGAAACACAACATTTAGTCCCTGTTCTTAAGGGACCGGGATTCAACTGAAAGAAATACGCATATAATAAAAGGAGAATCCAGCACTACGTCTTGGCCCTTCTTCAGTGCTGCTGCTGTCAGACCTCCCAAACCACCTGTTGGTTCTAACCTAGCCTCTCCTCAGTTTCTTTCCACATCCCTTCCACACCTTCTCCAAGGCCTCCTGTTTGAGATTCTCCCCACGAAAGTTAGCATCCCCCATTCTCAGGCCCCTGCTTGACCTCTGTAGTCAGCCTAGGGAAGTGTCCATAATTGAGACTTCAACTACCATCGGTCTGCGGAAGAAACTCCGATTCACAGATCTACACGGATGCACACCCGCAGGCCCCGCAGAAGCTCAGGGGCGGATGGCCAAACTTGCTTCCCTCCCAGTATTTCAAATGGTGGAAAACGGCACCAGTGTCTACCATTACCCAACCTGGAACCTCAGGTGTCACCTGTGACTCCTTCTTCCTCACTCCTACATTCAACAGGCCACTGAACCAGTGAATTCTTTCTCTTCTTTCTTTTATCCACCCCTCCTCTCCTCCCTCCTACTCAATGTCTTTCTTACTTCAGGCACCCATTATTTCTTGCCTGAGCTTGCAAACTGGTTTCTCTGCCTTTGGTATCATCTTCTCTTCCCCTGAAACTCTCCTCTCCAGCCACTCCCAATCTTTCATCTAACACACGAGTCACACCAGAACTTCTTGTATTTCTCCATGCTCTCTCATCTGCACATCTCCATGTGGATTTCATGTATTTTTCATCTCCCTGATCTTCAAATCCCTTTGTCTAGAACACTCTGCCTTCTCCCTGTGATTAAACTTCTACTCATCCTTTAAAACTCAGATCAGACATCATCTCCTACCCAGAGTCAGATTCCCCACCTTTATATTGGTGTTCAAATATTTTATTGCCAAAAAAATGTTTTAAAGACATGAAGTTCAATCTTCATATCAAACTAAATGCAAGGGAGGAAAACACATTCTCATGAAAACTAAAGGAAACAGATCTTACACTACTGTCAAGAGAGATGAGAGGAAGTCTCTGTGTCCCCCGTTCAGAACTGCGGTCCACACGGAAGTCACGCAGGGCACACTGCTACCAGCCACACCTGCTGGGCAGCATCCCTCCTTCCCCCACACTTTCACTATGTTTCAGGCAAAGGAGATGCTTTTCTTGTGTTGCTCTTTGGCTACTTCTTTAGGGCTGGATGATCAATTGGATAAAAACACAGCATTCCCATGAAGACAACCCCTAAAACCTGTGTCTCAGTTCCCTGCTTTTGCTGTGGTTAGTGTCTCCGGCAACCTGTGGCCTATTCCTCAGAGTCATCAGAACACGACTTAAAAGTTAACACAGACCTGTTTCCTTATCTATAAAATGATGAACAGAAGATCTCCAAGGAAGGGTTTCCCACTAAAGCATCACCTGGACTCACTCCCTGTCCTGAGCTGGCTCTCCTCGTGAACTTCCCCCTTTCTGAGAATAGATAAAACACACAGAGGGCCTGGCTGACAGCCACTGCAGCTCACTGCCCTGTCTCTGATGTGGTGTCACAGGACAGTTAAGGGGTGGCTGGGGTGCTCTCCAATGTGTCCCTCAAAATATTAGAAATACATCAATACTTTCTTCTCCCAATAGTCCAATGCAGAACTTCGATTTGTGCCAAGGTTTCTCAAGCCTGTACGTAATACACTACCTTTTGGAATAAGGCATTTCCTTTCATGACTTTCAGATTTGTTTCTTTGAAACTCTGAGGGATACCTTTAATTCTAGTATTTCAAGATTCAGAGAACAAGTACATATGAATCCCATCCACACATTCAGAAACCTGTAATCTTCCTACCACTGTAAAACAGTGCTCTTGGTGTTGGAGGTTTTGGTTACCTGGTGGTGTCCATACTGGCCAAAACTGCTTGTTTAGCAAAAATCACCATGAAGCTTGAATATTAGGGGTTTTTTTTTACTATGCTATAAGACCTTTTTGTGCTTTTATAAAGTTGCTCCAGTACTTAACTGTTTGTTATGGGCACTTAATGGCATCTCCAAATTTCACTGTCACTTCTATGGCAAATTCTTCCTTCTAGTGACCTGCAGCTGCACCTCTCTACCTACCATCCCCTGCTGAGGGGATGAGTTTCTGGAATATGGAGGTTTGTATCTGGCATTAAGCCCAGAGTGAACAAGCTTCATTCCTAACCCCTGCCCTGAGTCTGAGTTCACAAAGACAGATTCTGCCAAACCCGCTGATGGAAGCACCTGTCCAGACGTGGGGGCTCTCCCTAACGTGAGCCTCGCACCTCCAGAAACCGCTACCAAGTGGATCGTCTCTCCCTTGGCCCTCTTCATTCCTCATATCACTCATTTCTCAACTAAACAATGTTAATCATCGTATGGCATGGTGGTAGGAGTCCAGCTGCCTAGGTTTAACTCTCACTTCCGTCATTTGCTAGCTCCATGATCTGGATAAACTCCTGAATCTAGTTTTGCTTTCTTTATCATTAAGATGCAACTACTGACAGTCCTACCCCGTAGAGATGTCACAGAGGATTAAATGAGGCAGCGGAAGTACCCGGGACAGTGCCTAGAACAGAGCCAGGACTTGACACACCACTGTCACTGCCCTGGTTGCTGTTACTATTACTCTCCGTGGCTCCCTAACCGCTCTCCTGCCACATGGTCATCACTCTTCACCAGTCCATCTTCTGGACCACTTCTAAGAGGATGCACTTTCAAAAATATTTCTTGATTATAAAATGCATATTTCATTAGAGAAAATTCAGAAAACATTTGAGGGAAAAGTCACCCACAGTCTGACCACAGATACCACCACTGTGGGTGTATCTCTTCCTGGTCTTTTCTCTCTCTCTTTTTTTTTTTTAACCTAGGTGAGCCGATCATTTATATATCATTTTTGTGTCTGCTGTTTTGACCTTAGCATTTCCCCATAATTTAACAACACAAAGCAGGTCTGATTCTAATTCTTCGTTTAGCATTAGATACAAATATTTTATCCATATTCCACATAAAGAAAGTACAAACGGGAGCAGCAAATGATGGGTGGTGGCGGCCCCCTTTATTGCTTCCCACCGCCCCTGCCAGTCCCCTGTCTGCCAAGCCAACGGGCTGCCAGCATGGCCACAGCTGGGTTTCTCTGATGCTGACAGCCTACTGCCTGAGCTTTGCTCACAAGCTTCACGCTGAGACTTGTCCCCTCGGCGCCTCTGGTCTCGGGAACGCAGGAGAACCCTGAGGGCCCCGGTTCACCCTGCGCCACTGGCCCCGTGTCCTGCACGCCTGCTCCCTGCAGTCTGGAGCGGCTGCCTTCTCACCTCTCCCCGTCGGCGTTCACCGCAGTTTTCCAGACCCGGCTCTGAACAACAGCCTCCTAAGTAAAACGTCACCCTCCCGCGGACAAGCAAGCCTGGTGTTTCAGAGCACTCTTACAGCTCCGGCCATGGCCCCGGGACAGCACGGGCACGGGGCAGACATCTGCTGCATGGGTATTTTACTGTTCATGCTGTCTCTTCAAGCAAACCACAAAGGCCTTCAGAGATGAACCATTTCTCTAAGTTTTTATCCTGCCTGTCATGAGTGCAGAGCTAGGTAATCAATAAACGACCGATGAATAAAGTGACAGCCAACACTTTTCTTCCCCCATAATATGTATGTTTGTACATCTTTTTCTGGCTTTATTGCACGAGGCTCCATAACAGCTAAGCACTCTCACAGGGCTTCCTGTGTGCCAGAAGCAGTCCTGAGTGCTCTACACATTCTAACTAGCCCAGTCCTCAGAGCGGCCCTGGAGAGGGTCGACTACTTACCACCACTTCCATTTTAGGCGTGAGAAAGTGATGGAATTAGAATTCAAATAACTAGTTTGACCAAACATAACATCTATATAGTTGAATTCCACAAGTGAAATATTTATTATGGATCAGCCCTGTCCTCAGCCCTGTATAAAGGTATTTCCCCCCTGGACGGGGAGAAACAGCGAACAAGGCCGTCAACACAAGGAAGATGGACCAGACACATACAAACACAAAGGAAGCAAGGGGAGGCCTGATCCCTATGATCAAACGCCGGGCAGTAAGGGACACTCAAAGGCACTTCATTATTAAACCCAGCAGTGCAGAGAGGGTCAGCCCTCAGCAGAAACCACAATCTCAGAGCACACGGAGAGCATCTGGCAGGATGCTGTGCATCTGCTCGCCCCCAGATGGGAGCACTGGAGCCAACTCTTTCTGTTCCCCAAGTGATTCTCTGTCACTGGCCCCACTGCCTTGTGCCCCAGGAGCTGGGGGTGGCTGCAGTGGGCAGGACAGCCCGGCTTCTCCTTACCGACTAGGATACAGTATCCCAGCAAATCACTCAACTGACCTGATGCTAAATTTGAACAAGCAAGAAGACAGCCTTCTCATAAGACTTGTCTGTGTTTCAAAAAATCACAAGAATTCGACATGCTCATCACCAGCATGAGCATGTGAAACACACATGCCTCCTACGGGACACCCTGCAAGCAGCAGAGAGCGGCAGCCTGCAGTGGCCCGGAGCTGACAGAGGCATCAGGGACCTGCCCCGAGTCAGCCGGAGTCCCCGCGAGCAGTCCTCCGCTGCCTGGGGCCCTGCTTTTATTCCAGAAGGCAGGGCTCAGAAACAGACCCAGCTCCTCCGTGCCCTTCCCCACATCACAGCTCCAGCCACTGCCCGGACGTGAGCTCCATCCAAACGCGTAACTCAGAGCCCGACCCCCAGTCTCTCAGCCCCTTCAGACTCAGCTTGTCCACACAGAGCTCATCCCTTCTCCACATCCGTGTGCTCAGTGACCCCTGCCACCAAGGCAACCCGAGCTGTCAGCATCCCACACGTCCCCCTCTTCAGAGGCCCTCAAACCCGCTCATCTGCGCCCCCCGCCACCCACTGTTTCAGTCCAGGCCCTTTTTATTTCTTGCCAGGTTCATGGCAACACCTCTCTTACACGTCCTCCTACCACCGTTTCCTTCCCACGAGCCAGAATAGTCTTTCCGAAGCACAAGGTGACAACAGGTCTGTACTTGCTGTCAAACCCTCAGGAGCTCACTACGTATCACCAATGAGATCAAGTCAAACTCCCAGCCTTGGCTCGCTGGGCCCTACAAGGTCTGGCCTGGCCCTCATGCCACCTTGGTTCATCCCTACACACACTCCTCCCCTTTGGCTCCCTCCGGACAGGGAGCCGTCCAAGTAAGCCCTCCCCGCTCACAGCCACCAAGCTGCTGCCCAAGCTGCCCTCTCCCCGGCCTGTCTCCTGTTGACCTGACAGCCCTCCAGGCCTCAGGACAAGCACCACCTCCTGCAGGATGGCTTCCAGGATGCCTCCAGCTCAACCGTACAACATAGTACCTGCGCCCACTCCACTGGCACACGATACACCACACGGCGGCACCATCAGTTTCCTTCAATGTCTTCTCCACGGGTCTGTGGGCTCATTTCAGTGTCCCCAGGCCCCAGCGTGCTGGCTGGCACACAGTAATTGTTTTCCAGATAAAAGACAGAGCCGAGAACTCCAACCCACCAGGCCACGTCCCTCGGCCCTTCCCTGATACCCGGGCGGACTTACCCACGCAGTCACAGGTGGGGAACTCGGCCTGGGCTCTCTTGGCAGGTGTGTCCAGCAGACTCTTGGTGGGCGTGTCCAGGTACTTAAGAGGTGACTCCAGGAAGCCGCTGAGGGTGGGTGTGAGTGGGTTCTCAGCCTTGGTGGGTGTGGCCTCCTGGCCTCCCTCCTCTGAATGGAAGCAGGTGGTCGAGAGCACAGTCACAGCCCCCGAAGACTCGATCTTGATTTGCTTGGGAGAGCGGGTGGCAAAAGGGCTCTCAGGGGCTGGGAGACAGGTGGGCTGGTTCTCGGGGTCCTGAATGGGCACAGATGGGGGGCCAGGAAGCCCAAAGCTATCCCCAAATTCAGCCTCAAACTGCCGGATGAGCTCTTCCAGCTTGTCATCGGCGGGGGGAAGTGGGCCAGTGGAGCCCGGCTGCAGGGTGGCCATGGGGCTGGGAGACCTCATTTCCTGAGTAGGGGGCAGCAGGCTGTCCCCGGAGGGACTAGGTGCAAATAGCGCAAGAGAAGGTTCTGGGGGCAGGGGGGCAGCAGGGCCCTGCGAGGCGGGGACAGGGGCGGGGGCAGGGGCAGGGGCGGCTGGGTGTGCCTGTGCATCCTCGGAGGCTGGGGACCTCAGCCCCTCCAGGACGATCTGCCGCAGAGGCAGGAAGAGAGGCTGCGCTTCCCGCAGCCTGGACTTCTTGATCTGAACGGGCTTCCGGATACTGGGCTTGATCCCAGGGCCGGCTTTCTCGGTTCCCACAGGACCCCCAGCTGGTGCCAGGGGCTTCTTCTTCTTCTCCTTGGGTGGTCTGTCCAAAGGCCGTGGGGCAGGTGAACTGGGTGGTGCCCACCAGCCGGGAGCAGAAGGCTCCGAGGGAGGGGGGAAGGGGGCATCGTGGGCCTGATCCAGGAAGAGGCTGCGCTTGTGCTGGAGGTGCTGCTGCAGGGCTGCCTGGGCCTTCTGGTGGGTGTCGGGCTCTGAGGATGGAGGGGGGGCCTCTCTCTGGAGGGAGGGGGAGGGGGCCGGGGAGGAAGAGGGCACCTCAGCCTTGACCTTTGGCTTGCTGGGCAGGGCCTCAGGCCGCTTGAATACTGACTGGATGTAATCACTGGCACTGCCCAGCAACTGCTCCAGTTCAGCCATGGGGTCAGGGCTTGGGCGAGGCATGGGCCAAGGGCTCCGGGGAGTTGCTGGTGGGGTGTCGGTGCCCCAGGTTTCAGCAAACTCTGTTCTAGGAGTTGCTGGAGGGAAGGCAGGGCTCTCGGGAGCAAAGGATGGGTGCTCTTCGGCGGGGACTGCAGGCCATGAGGGAGCCCGGAGGTAGGACTGGGGAGATCTGAAAGGGGCAGGAGGGGACAAGGCCTCAGGAAGGGGGCAAGGAGCCTGGGAGGTGGCATGAGAGGGCTGGGGGAGGGCGGAGGAGAGCTGTGTGAGGGCCTCAATGGCGATGGCGGTCTGCAGGCTGATGTTTTTCTCCTTGGCGATACTCAGGGCACTCTGGGACAGGGGCAGGCCTTCCGGAGGAGGTATCTGGGGGACCTCGGAGTTGAGGAGTGGCCTGGTGATGGGTGCCGGGAGGCCAGCCTCCCCAGAAGGCAGAGTCCCTGGGAGCCGGGGCCGCTCCTCCCCGCTCTCCACGACCACAGACTTGATCTTCCCCTCCAGCCACTCGAGGTAGTCAGGGCACTCTGGGCCATCGCAGTTGCAGTTGGGTGGTTTCATGCCATGCCGAGCGAGGGCCAGGGCAGTCTGCAGCGTGTCAAGGTCTTCGCTGCCAGCAGAGCAGTCCTCGGGCCCTGACCGGGGTCCCCTGCTGTTGTTCCCAGCCTCGCGACTCATCTCACGGTTGAAGGTTTCATAGAGCCGGGTGCTAAGGGCCCCATAAGAGGACACAGCTTCGGCCACAGCCGAAAAGGCCACCAGATCGTGGGCATCTTCCAGGCGAGCAGTGTGAGCTGGTCCTGGGGCAGCGTCCCAGTCGGGCTTCTGGTCTACTCGCCAAGGACCCCCAGCCCCCAGCAGACTGGGTCCAGCAGGTTCTCTAGCACCATTGACCGGCGCCCCTGAGGCGCTTAGCTGCCGTGAGTCCCCATGGTACACTGGCCCTGAGTCCATCGGACCTGGAACAGGTCCATCAACTGCGCTGAGCTCTGAGCCTGCCTGAAGAGAGAGAGGAGAGGGAAAAGGGGGAAAGATGAGCCATAGTATTTGAGAAGCACTGTCCTGCATCACACCACTCAGATGCACACCTAAACACTGCTTTTCTTGCAAAACCCTCCCTGTCTTTGATACAGCTGGGACCTCAGCTCATCTTCCCACATCTCCATTCCCAGCTAGCTGCACCAGCAGAAGCAAAAGGCAGACCTTTAAGAGACCCTAACACATAATTCTGAATGTTGCTCGGCCCTTTTTGGACCTCGTACTAATCACGCTGACCAAACTCCCCTGAAACCAAGCATTTGTTGAGAACACACAAAAAAGATCTTTAACTCACAATGACCAATGTGACACCAGAACCTTTGTTTTTTGTCAGAAGCAAAAGAAAGCTAACCAGCACACCATGCAACAGTATGCCACAGGCGGGAAGTGCACGTGCGTGCGGGGCAGGGACAGGGAACGAGCAGCTGATTAACAGTTCAGCCTGAGCAAGAGGTCAGTCACAGCTTCTCAGGGGGAAGGAACCCACAGTTCTTTTCTCTGCCCATTACTGCCCTCACTTAAGCCCAGGCTGAGCTCAGAGAGCTGGTGACAAGACGACAGTCCCACCCCCGGCCCGCGGCCCGAGGAAACACTAACCATCTCATAGAGCGTGCTCAGCCCCACACCGAGCCAGTCCCACCGATGCCACGTGAGCTGCTGCTGGGAAGAAGATACAAGCTTCTCCCCATCCCAGGAACCACCATTATGTCCACCCAAAGCACACAGAAGGGGAGGGCACAAGAGGAAGCAGGCCAGGTGTCCAGTGCAGTAAGTTGAAAGCTAACACAAGGATGCGGAACTGAGTTGGCAGGAATCTTTCCACCAGAAAGGAAGGCTCCTTCTTCCAGTCGAATGCCACCAAAAATACAGAAGGAACGATGGATTCAGAATGTCATCAGTGGATGCTGTGACTAGCAGGTGAAGGCTTGATGCAGGGTATGTACATGGCCTCAAAACATCTCTTTAAAAATTATTTAGTAGTAACTTTAAAATAGAGAAATCTGGCAGACACCACTTTTACCGATGATCAAAGTTGTCATCATTACTAATATGAGGACGGAACAACACCACGTGCCTCTTTATAGGATGCACTGAGGACAGCATCACATCAGTCACGTAGAACTCCAGCCAAAACGGAGAACTTAAATCTAATTGCGAGGAAACATCAGATAAACTGAAGCGGAAGGGCACGCTAGAGAGCACCTGGGTTGTTCTCTTCAAAAATTTCAAAGACAAGAAAGAAAAACATCTTTCCCAGCTGACACGGGACTAAAGAGACAGGACAGCAGAACGCAGCTCCTGGGCTAGGTCTTGGAGTGGGGGAAGAGAGCCAGAAAGCACAGGATGGGGACAGCTGACGAAACCTGAATATGGTCGGACACGGCCATCGTGGGCCCCCAAGTGGTGGTGGGAAGCTGGGATCCGGGACAGGCCTTTGGGAGGTGAGCGGAGGCCTCGGTCTATGGTTGCCGCCTCATTCTCGTCACTGCCCCAGTTCTGGCCACAGAGGACCCTCATGCTGTTCCAACATGCTTTTCTGAGCTTTGCACACGCAGTTCTCATTGCCTGGAATGCCCTTCCCGGCCTCGGAGGCCATTCTGGCTTATCCATCAGGCATCAGCTGTCACCTCCTCTCGGCAGACTGACCTGCGGCCCCCTCCCCCGCGTTCCCACAGCACCCTGCACCTGCCTGCTAGCGCTTATCGCACGCCACTACTGCTGTTCAAGCAGCTGCCTCCCACACCAGACAGTATTTCCTTCAAGACAAGGTCCAAATCTTAACCACTTCTGCGCCGCCTGCCCAGAGCTGCTGCTTGGACCACCTTCACAGGCCTTGCCCTGACCCTGGTGGAAAGACCATCTTTCAGAACCAGAAACAAACAACTTCTCCTTTAGGAATGTGGCTGTAAAGCCAGTACTCCCTTCCTTCCTTCTTAGAATCCAAGGTGGCTGCAAAGACAAAACCTGAAGTGGTCAAATTTTACACACTTGTGGCAATGGGGAGAGTGTAGCTCAAGCGGTACAGCGTGTGCTTAGCAAGCACGAGGTCCTGGGTTCAATCCCCAGTACCTCCTCCAAAATAAAAAAAAATAAGTAAAATTTTAAAAACCTAATTACCTCTCCTTGCCAAAGAAGATAAAACAATTTTAAAAAGTTTTACATGCTTGCGTATAAAAGACAGAAGGAGCCTGCATAACCAAGAAGGAACAAAAGAGAGTAACATGGATTTATAGGAAGTGTTAGGAAGACAACTGCTATGTGAGCTGAGGCTTCCCCAAAATGGTCAAGACAGCTAAAACAATTTTAAAAAGTTTTTTTTGTTGTATGAATAAGAAGAACAAGGAGGAGCTAGGCCTTATGGCTCTGAATTCCCTAGGAAGAAGGATGCTCTTTGGACCAAAAAAAAAAAGAAAGGAAGGATAGAGTAGACACGGATATGAGGGAAGTGAAGCCAAGACGGGTGGAAAACTTTAAGAAGCTCTATAAATCCCAGTTTTCCCAGCCAGGGCATCCCACTGACACATTCCTCACGCCTGCCAGTGATCCTGGAAGAAACCTGCCGTCAGGAGAAAGCGCCAAGAGGCGAGAAATGAGCAAGTGTCACCCCCAACTTCCAGTCCACTGGGTGAGAAAGGTCTGGGTAAGGGCCCCGTGTGGGTAACTAAAGGGACCTCGAGGAGTCAGGTTCACGAAACCCATCAACCCATCAACGCTCAGCTAACCTTGGTGCTTTGTGGTGTGCGGTCCCTGGACCAGGAGATGAGGAGACATCCTGGCTGACAGGCCACACACTCAAGGGCTGCAGGCCAAGTCTGCCACAGATCTGCTTTATTTGGTTTTGTTTCACCAATGTTAAAAAAAAAAAATCAATTTCACATGAAACCCAGATTTTCTTGAAGGTCCACACTTCTGTCTGGCAACTTTGCCTACAACCGAGCGCTGACTACCGCCCCTGCTCACCCCCAGCTTCGCCATCCGTGCTGCCTTCTTGAAACCAAGGCCAGGAGTCAGGGATCATTTATGAATTGCCTGAGTTACGTACCATTTCATTCATCTGTGTAGGCATTTGGGTTTGTGACTCGAGCTGTAGATGTTCAAGTTTCACAAGGTGGACTGTGATTCCCTTTGAGGGCCAGCTGCGGAGAGTTAGTGGCTGGAGGGGCTGCTCACCAATGGCTCAAAGCACGAGTGGTGTATCAACTGGGGGGTGGTCTCTAGGGCTGTGCTGCAGGGCTCTTCCTCAGAGCTGTCCTATTCAACGTATTTATCAGTAATGACAGTGAAGGTGTACTTATTAAACAGGCAGATGCTGAAGACAGGAGGGGTAAGAGACTAACTGAAGCTAATCTCAGTATGATGCAATTTGGCAGCTTCAAAGGATTTTATTAATGTTTTTTCAAACTTTTTTTTACTATAATCCACAGTAAAAATATATATATATATATATATTATACTGTGATCTATTATGTACTTACACATATGACGGGTTTGCAAAATGGTATTTCTCCTTAATAGATACAGGAATCCCTCCCTTCCTCTTTCTTGCAGGTTGTAACAATCTAAGGTGATTTCACAGTCCACTAATGGGTCCCAACCCATACACAGCTGGACACACACGTGACCAGACCTGCAGCACGGGCAGCAACAGCCCAGCTCTGCCCAGACAGTCCCCACCTGAGCACAGGCTTCCTCTGGGGGCTGCACCCTGTGAGGGGGCACAGAGGAGAAGCCAGCAGGGCAGCTCAAAACCGTAAGGGGGCGGGGGGCGGTACAGCCACAGTGGTACAGCACACGCTTAGCATGCACGAGGTCCTGGGTTCAATCCCCAGTACCTCCACCAAAAATAAATAAACTCAATTACCTCCTCCCGCCAAAATAAAATAATTAAATAACACAATAATTTAAAAGAATAAGATGCTTTAAAAAAAATCCAAAAACAAAAAAGAGGAGCAGGTCCCGTCTGGTTCCAAAGAAGACAAAACTCAGGTCTTTAAACATGTGAGGGCCTATCATCTGGGAAAAGATGAGACTGGTTTCAAGTAGCCCTCAGGGCTGGAATCAGAAAACAGGTAAAGCTTTAGAGAGAAGACTTGGGCTCAATTTAGGAAAGAGTTTTAATACTGAGAGATACTTAAAAAAAAATACACTGCCCCCTGGCCACCTAACAGCCAGAGGGTATTCCAAAGGAAATCAAGCAGTTACTGGACAGTTATTGGCAGGAGGGCTGGACAACACTGAAGAAGGACAGAGGCTAGTCTAGGCCCTTTCAAAGCCCCAGTTAGACGTGCCCCAACCCCAAAACCCTCCACACTTTCTCCCTTCATTCTCACCGCCCCTGGGCTGCAGCAAGCACCTCTCTGAGGCTGCTCCTTAAAGTCTGGCTTCCAGCAGCCCCCAAGTCCTGGAACCTGCTACAGGCCCGCTGGGGGAAGTGCACCTAAAATGGACCAAACTCCCCACTCCACCTCCAACGGCTCCGTCCCCAGCTGTCTTATTCCTGCGAGTGTTCCCAACCCAAGCATCATCCCCGTTCTGCCAAGGTGCCCAGTCACCAGGTCCAAACAAGTCTAGACATGAATGCCTCTCCCTTCTATCTCCTCCCTTTCCCTTCCTGCCCTCCTAATTTTGGCCTTGGTGTGTGTACACACTTTCTAAATGTCCAGCCTGGCAGTAGCTCCTCTGGGCAGTTCTGTGTACCCCAGCCCGCTCCCACAGTCTTTTCTCCCCCTACAGTCCGTTGTTGATCCCACCCTCCCGAGACTCCCAGGCACCAGCCTCACGTCTCTGCCTCACATTCCACCCTTGCTCAGCCTGCAGAATTTACGAGCGCTGTCTGCACGCCTCCAGCACTCAGCGTGCGTGACAGGGTCACTAAACCCCTCCATCCCACGTGCACTTCTCCCAGCAAGGTGGGGGGGTCTGTGTCCCTCCCCTCAAATCGCGGCGGGCTGGTGACAGTGGTGGAAGTGCCGCTACATGGTTTTCAAAGCTGGATCATGAAAGACAACACAGCTTCTGCCTCGTTCTCATGACACCCAGCCACCATCCTGTGAGGAAATGCAGGCCGTCTGGAAAGTCCACATGAAGGTGTCCCCAGGCATTCCCAGATGAGGTCCCAGCCAACAGCCGGCATCAACCTGCCAAGCGAGTGACTGAAAGAGCCCTTCAAGGATTCCAGCTTAGCTGTCAAGTTACCGCTAGCTCTAAGACTCCCCAGCTGAGGTCACAAGCATCAAGGAACAGAGACAAGCCACCCAAGCTGTGTCCTTTCTGACTTCCAAGTCCAAGGCTTCCATGAGCATAGTAAAATGAACGCTGTTTCACGCCACTGAATTTCGGGGTGGTTTCCTACCTTACGATAGACCAGGCTGTATATTTCAGGAACATCAAGAAGTTTACAAGGCAAAAGGCAAGAAACAGTCCTGCACACACAGAAGCCCTCTGGCATACCGGTGTCATGAGAGCAGTCTTCAGGGCCTGGGGCATGGGGCCACTTCTCTCTGAGAAGGTGGACATGTGTGTCGAGAAAGGTTCCACCTTGAAGTCACTTTCGAGATGAGACTCAGAGGATGGGCAGGTATTTTGGAGGAGGGGAAGAAGGAAGAACTCCAGATGGAGGGACTCGCATGTGCAAAGGCATGGAATCATGAAAACGCCTGGCAGGCAGGGGAGGGTGAGCTGTCAGGGACAGTCTGAGCACAGAGTGTGAGGAGGGCAGGGGTGGGGATCACCGCAGGAACACACAGGAGCAGATCTGCAGTTCAGGGGGGCCCTCAGGCGTTCGCACAAAGCACCACCGGCAGGGTTCAAGGCTGGTGGCAGGCAGCCCGGCTGGGAGAATCGTGCCGCTGTCCAGATCAGTGGTCAGAAGGGCCTGAACCAAGGCAACAGCAGAGAGGTGGGGGTGAAGCGTGACTATGGGCAAATGATAACGTCCTCCTGGACCAGTCCTGCCTAGCACAGGTCTGAACCCGACCCGACGCAGTCCCCACACACAGCCACCTTCTGCTGGGGATCTTTCCCTAAAAGAGGAGACCAAGTGCACTGTCAGAACTCCTAGGGGACAAGTTCCATCACACCTGCAGAATCCAGCAGAGTGCTCAGCATGTGCTCAAAAAGGGTCAGCGGCTTCTTCCTCCTGGGACCCGGCTGGTACCAGCCTGCTCACCCCCTGACGTTGAGAGACAGC